ACCATCAAAGGAAAAACTGGATTGCCTTGCTAATAAATAATAAAAAAATACTACTTCCTATTAGAGATAGGATATTAATATAACCTATAACTCCACCAATTCATCTTCGAACCACCTCAGACACTTGTCAAGGCATAACTTTGAATTTACGGCGCAATTTATACGACAATAAAGATTAAAAACAACATTTAATAGGGTATTAAGTGTACATGGCTGGTTGTTGCAATTACTGGGTGCAGTGTAGGTACGGGAACTTTGACATGAACTATACATACTTGGCAAGTAGGTACTAGAGCTAGCATATTGTATTACGCGTGGATTGTTAAAACATTGGATATGGTAGAGGAACAGTATGGAACTGGAATGGAACAGTGTCCATCGTTTCAATCAATCAATAAGAGAAGCTAAGAGTGCTCTGATTGTAGCTATCGTCGGATAAAATTTTATAGTAATAGGTAATTAGGTTGTAATTTAATTGCATCGTTATTATTTTATATAAATTACGGAATCTTTTACAATGCCGAGTGCTACATATTTTTAACGTTTCGTCGTTACTAATCCAAAATATTGTAGTTGTAAAGAAGATTATCTAGTTCCATATCAAAAAACACTATTTTTTAATTGTAAAAAAAACATACATTATATATCACACAGAAGACTAAGGGCTGATTTTTAAATAGTAAGATAAATGTTATCTGAGGAATAAAATTGTTGCTGTCACTGTCTTATATAAACAATCTGACGCGACAGCATCATAATTATTCCCCGCGACTAACTTTTATCAAACCATTGAAAAAACAGCCCTTAGAATCGTTAAGTTATAAATGTACACAACCAAGCCATCGTGTTGGATATGACACATTTATGAACAAGGGTATTTTTCCGTTTAGAATTTTAAGCACGTCATGTCCATAATTTCTTTAATCCAATATATTACTTAACTAGTACATATTTGCGGACTAGGGCAAGTAGTGATTGAACATTGAAATAATAAATGGCTGCCAGCAGCGATTATAGTATGAGTAAATATAATATTTGCTGCGAGCTTTATTGAATCTTAGTAAGTAGGATTTTACTGAATGAAGGGAATAAATATGGGATTGATAAACGCAACGCTAGCTGGAGACTGTAATTATATACTAAGACATAATGTTAATATATTGTCTATCAAAATCAAATCAAAACAAGGAACAGAGTCTCAATTCAATTAATTTTCTTAACTCATAAATACTTGTTCGTTCATCTAAAGTTCTCGGTCCCTCAGGGCTCGATTGCGATGACAGTGCTCTATTTGTTTCTTTGTTGTACAGTCGATCGCGAAAATTGTGATAGCATGGTTACTGTAGTCATAAAACGTAGTTACAAACTTGTTATGAGCTCCGTACGCGACATGGAACGATGCCGCAACAGTAACGCCTATAATATACGACGATATTATAAATAAATATTAGGTGGATGTCTATTAAAACTTTGTGCTGTGCTTTTGAAAGGTGGTCTATTGGTAAATTGATAGAATAGGCAGTTTGTTTCCACAATTTAAATATGTTTTTTGTGTGCATTAAAGTATTTTGTATTCTCTTATATAGAATAATGAATTTCTGTTCGTTAGTCTTGCTAAAACTCAAGAACGGCTAGTCCGTTTTAGATATTTTTTGCCTTAAAATGTTAGTTAAAGTCCGGGGAAGGTTTAAAAGGTTACGTATGGTTACATTTGAGGCGGAATCAAAGTTCGGGTCAGCTTGCAAATAAATAAATTATGTGCCTACAAGACATTTTGGCTAAATTGTGAAAGAAACGAGTAGTTAATTGCTAGACAGAAGTTAATATTGATATATTATGTTTGAAGTGGAGTTATTTCTACCGTTACACTTTAAAAAAATAACATTGAAATCCAAACCCTAACAGATATTCTTGCTTCACAGCGGTTACTAGGGGCTCATACAGCCGATGTGTCTTTCAGCAGTTGCCCTCTGCTTAATCCAGTGAGATTCGCATGTTCCAATAACTGTCACCCATCGTAAATATCACTGCGAAAATGTGTCTCTGCGATGCCTATGTGGATTGAAATATATCAGAATATAGCCAGCTAGAACTAGTTTGAACTAGTCTTGGGATTATTCGAGAATGTCTATTCAATTGTTTTGTATATTTCCATATTAACGTTATTGTTCTGTTGTGTGTGTCAGGTTAAATATTCTTTACGAAAAATATAACGTTACCATGGAAGAGATAGAATACATATTTTTCAAATATATGTATTTCTTTTACTTTTATGAAAACTTGCTTCCACCCGCGGCTTCGTCCGCGTATTTTATCATCCAGGCTATCACCTACCTATCTCTATATCAACTCGATTCAGCAGTTTTTGAGAGAAAGAATAACAAACGAACATCCATACAATCAAACAAACTTCACATTTATAATACATATTAGTAGGAAAATGTGGGATGATAAAAATTTCTTATTGAAAATTACACTGATAAAAATTGCATATAAACTAAACAACTTATGATATTTAAACACTAATTAAGTGGAGAAATTGTTAGTCAAACCAATCATCAAGTTTTTTTACAGTGAGTTGTTAGTATTTCAACTAACAACAAAGAATACAACACGGATCTGATTAGTGGTAATAGGTAAGCTGGCAATACTTACTATTTAGTAACAAAACAACAATACCTTCTATTCTCGAAAGAACCAATAGAAACACTGAGCACTTTATCAGTGGCTGAAGAGAATTCAAAATAACAAGCAGATACAAACGAATTCAATGAACGACTTGCTTCGTTCTTACATACAAAATCCTTTGCGTCAATGAAGTTTATTGAAGTAGTTTTAGTAGAGACGATTTTATTGAAAACAGTTTTTCTTGAGATTTCAAATTAAGAGACGGAGAACTTGAATATGGACTCTTATCTATGTAAATAGAAGTTTAAATTGATAGCAATGGAATGGAATAGATAGAAGAGTTTGTTAAAGTTCTTCAAATGTTTAGTTTAGAAGGAGATAATGTGTAGGTAGTGTAATGATTCCATATTGATGGATTAGAGTAATGAAAGCTACGAAAAACACGCCAAACTAAATGACGAAATACAAATACGAAATAAACATCAGAACACCAGCAAAATGAAATAACAACAGTTTTTAAGTACTTAACCAACCCTCACATTGTCCTCGTTTTCACCAAAATATTCATTACGTAGAAAATTCTGTGAAATTTCAACAAACGTATCACTTTTGTGTTATAATGAGCAGCTATTCTGCTAGCTCTAGTGAACTGCCTTTCAAACAACCGTCCGCTTAAAGTGACAGTAAGTGTAATCGAATATAATGTTACGTAGTTATTTAATACGGGAAGCGAAAGCTTACACCTGGTGACAAACGGGACAAAAACACAGCGGGCGACGCCGCGGTATGAGTGACGTTAATGAGATGTGCGCGCCAATTTGTTTATGCGCTCGCTTGCATACAAAACAGGGACAGAGGAAAAGTTGTGGCGCATCCCTTGTCGTAGAGTAAAAAGTAATGAACTCAATTGTGGGACATAGAGTAGTCGGTTGATTAGATTTTTGATGCAGAAAACTACATGGAAAACGGAATAAAGATAAAAATAGCAGTCAGTATTTTCACTTTGGCAAAATAAAAGAGTTTATTTTCATAGTAATATTTTGCCAGCTAAGTGGCTGAAAATTCGTAAGTACTTAATCAACTAACTTCATGCTTATTATATTTTATTATATCGTATAGACTGTTCATCTTTCACACAGTTTCAAGTAAAACAACTCTTCAATCTTCGATAACTTGTAGTACAAATCTCACATTATATTTGTCAGAAACAGATACTCAATATCAATAAAAATAAAGACCCGACATCACTATAATTTTCCGGACTACTCACACAAGGAGAGCATATCAAAATGTCACAATTAGAGCTGTATTTCAACAAGCTGCCAGTACCCGTTACATCCTCAAGTCACGTAGCACCGTGACGACTCTGACGAGCAAGGAAGGGCATCGGCCGAAGCTTACTATTCTGTGATTTACGACCACCACGGAAGTTTAACTGTCTGTCTGTTACTGTCTTGTGTGGTCCAATGAAAGTGATATCAGATTTGGAAATGCTATTAAATACATTGATGATTTTGATGAGTATCGATGTCTGAATATAAAACGTGAAGGTTTTAAATTAAATAATGTAAAGTAAGTAGCTAGGAGTTCCACAGGGCTCGATTCTGGGACCTTCCATCAAACGGCTGAACTTTCAAATTTCACATTTTTTTACCATACTGATGTATTAAAGAAGTGCTTTTGTTAATTGTATCTTTTATTTTTGGTTACAATATAAATAGCTATTTTACTCCTGGGTTGGAAGGCTTGTGTGAAAGATTTTGAACACATACGAACGTTAGGTAGGTCAGTAACTAAGTTAACAGTGATGGACACGGATACGGTTGCAATGGCCGTATATTCGAATTTAGTTATTTAGTTAACGTTGTGTATCAGAATAGAATCCCTGAATAAGGCCGCGGCCAGCTGTCAGTCCCCGTTCAAGATCATGGACTCCACCGGGATTATGTATGTGCCACGAATGACAATCAGCTGCACCGCATAAGCTCCCAACAAAATGGAACTATTAACTGTATTTGAAATTGAAATTACGGATTGTTTACTCGGAGACTCGGTTTTGAATTTCAACGGTACTTCTGAACGCAAATATTCAATTTATACGACCTTTTCTTTCATGAAGTGCGTTGTTTACATTACCATAATATAACTACATATTAATAGGTTGCTATGGAATTTGACGTAAGCAAGGGCAATAATATTAGAGGAACAAAAATGTATAATCTATTTATGATCCCTTATTCATTATAAGATACCGGTTAATGAGGTTAAAAAGATCATCCATCCATATTAACCCATAAGGGGCCTACATTAAATTTTATAATAAAATTATTTCTTATGATTTTCCTCATTCTACACGAGTCTGTAAGTGCGTAATGAAGCGGACGGGTCCTGGGAGGGCAGTACAAGGAGTCAGTGATGCGATCAGCTCACCGCATCAGGAATCAATTAGGAACGGCTGGCGGGTACGACGTGCCTACCGCATGAATTATTGACGATGCTACCGCTCGCACGCACGACTTAGTTATACCAGCGGTACTCGATTACAAGTCGCCATCTTGTTTACAATGCAATTTGGTATTAAGTAGATTAGGTTTAGTGTATTCTGGATTATGTATGCATGTGACTGAAATATTATTGTAACGTTGTGATTAATGGTCAATACTGAACATACTAGTATTATTTAAGCTTAGACATACATTTATTTTTAAATATTAGTATACAAAAATTTTTGAAGTCAGTTATTTATTATGGCTGGTAAAGTTGAAATTCAGTGACACATTTTCTAGTTCTATTCGAGCAAAATTCGGAGGCGCAGTGTCCAGTTTAACAATAGCCATCTAGTGGGCCGATTAGCGAGTAAACTAGATTTCCTTGTCAGATTATGCTGTCCGTCATAGGTAGCAGAGCACGTAGTGGGAATTCAGCTCAGGTGTGGGCCGAATTATAGAGAAATCTCTTTACTTCGCTCTTGCATTTTGGGTGAATTTTCAAGCAGGTATCTGTCTACTGAAGTTAGGATTTGCTCAATTTGACCCACAAGTTTTGATTGTTAAACGGCTGCCTTATTTAATTATTTAAAATAAATATAAGTTATATTCTATTAATGTGTTTTTCATTAAATATTTTATATGCAAATAGTTTCATCTACAACATTGCTTATAAAAGACGGCTTAAATGCTGTTCATTCTACGAAAGTTAATGGGTTTAAGTACTTGTGCGTTCATTAAACTCAAAATGTATACCAATCGGTTTGTGTCTAGCAAAATTATCGTTATATTGCATGGTTTAATATACAAGTCGCTAAAAGTGAGACATTTCAGCGTTGCTCGATGTCGCGAAAGTGCAATGAACATAGTTAGATATTGTATCGTCTGCTCTCGCGAAATGCTTGTTCCATTATAATGCGTTCAAAGTCTGGCTATAGAAAAAGCAGTCAAGTACAATTTAATCACGAGCGAGTGTGTTCTTTATATTTTCATCAAATTTCTCATATTTTATGTTGGTTTTATTTTGTACCTATTTAATAGCAGAAAAACAGTAATAAGTAGATGTTTTTGCAATCTCATTGCTAGATTTTTATTCGATTTAGATTTGTTTTCATATTGATTTTTTTAAAAGTATCATCTTAAAGGTATTGACGAGCTTTACAAAATTTTAATTTTATCATTATTAGAAATCTATTTTATTGTTCATTAGACTGCACGGTTGGCGCAGTTGTTGGGCAACTGTCGTATCGCAGATTCGATTCCCGCACTGAACAACTTTTTGTTTGATCTACAAATTGTTGTTATGGGTCTGGGTCTGGGTGTGATTTGTAAGTGAAATTGTTTGTAAACGCACCCACGACACAGGAGAAAATCCTAGAGTGAGGCAAAGTTAAAATATATATATGTATATATTAAAACCTACAAATCAGTTCACTTACGATGCCAATGTAAACTATAGGTACTGCATCGTTTATCGGAATAAAATGAGTGGTTTCCAAAAAACGCAAGCGGAACCCTAAGTAACATGAGTTGCGAAAGTTTAATTTTTATTGCGGGCATCCAACTGCTCTCTCGCATTATACACCAGACAAATAAATAAGTAGATTACTGACTGCAACTAGACATCGGTTCAAATGGTCTAAAATAGTAATATTAAAATACATTTTAGTCTCAAAATCTCATTACAATCTTCCCGCAATGCCATTAAAAATGTATGTAGTATCAAACAAGATTTCGTTTTGATCAGAATAGTTTGTATTCTCTTGGGCAAAGTTATTTTCTTGCGGATAATATGCATGATTTTATATTGTAATATGTCCATAGGAATATGAGGAAGTCGTAAAGGTTTTAAGGCATTTGTGTATGTTTTCGACTTTCGTTATTATTTTATACCGTTTACAAAAAAATCACACAAGTCGTCTTCTGGTGCAAATAGGCTTCCATTCTAGACAAGCAGTTCTTTCTTTTAATTTAAATTAATAGCTCGATTTTTTTTTAATATTACGCATAACACACATTATTTTTTTCTTTTATTTTTATAAAAAACACCCACACTTTTCTTCTGTGTCTCGGGTGGATCTATGGATCACACAGAGTTGTTCCGGGCGGGAATCGAAGCCACGACACGTTGCGCGACACATACTGTAAATATAAGGATAAAAAACAAAAACAACAGTATATGCATATTTAATTTATATTTTGTAGAAATGTCACGTTAAGACTTCATTCATACAACTACGATTTGATTTAGATCATTCGCTTTGAGATTGGAGCCATACTGTACCTAACACTGAAATACAAAGCTGACAATGCTTTTACCGTTGCCTACCAGAAATTGAAACGTTTCATGAATCTGCAATTACACATTACAGGCAAACATTGGTAATTGCTTACGCATTAGGCAATGCCAACTAATGCCTAGCTTCGGGGCAAAGTCTCGTGTTTAATCCTATAAAGTGAAGTTCTCGAATTATCCCGATAGATGTCACTGGGTGGCGCTCGTAGTATAGTTAGTAGAATAGCGATTGGTTTTGTGAGTTGTAGTTTCTTGTTTCGATTTAACTTCTAAATCAAGGTTAGTGATGATTATGAAAAGAATAAATTACCAAAGTCCTGATTATTTAATCCTTCACCCCAAAAAAGCTAACGCACCCTTTAATAGGTGTGGATGTCTATAGGCAACCAGGAGATCGATTGAGATGCTCTTTTGAGATAATCTATTCTATACTAATATTATAAAGAGGTAAAATTTGTAAGTTTGTATGTAAGGGGTAATCTTTGGAACCGCTGGTCGGATTGCCAAAATAATTTCACTGATAGATAGCTACAATATTTCTGACTGCTATAGGATATAAAACATCACGATACGATCAAATGGAGCTGGGCAGCGGGTGAAACCACGCAACAGTAACTAGTGCTGTTTATTTAGTAACTGGTATTTTTAAATACACATTTTCACTAAAACTTAGAGAGAGGGTCGTCATAAATTTACAAAGATATTTGTGGTTAAGAATTGAAATTCTTTTCCAAGATATCTGAAACTAGATGTATTTTCACGACTTCTAGAACGGCCATCCGCACGCACATATATTATTTTGTACTTCTCTTATACATGGAAAAATGAACATGCATTTAAAAAAAATATCTAGTTTATATCTCCTTTCCTATGTGAGAAGAATACCCGCAACACACTCAGTGGTCAGTTTCTATTAAAGTCCAGAATACTTTGAGCCAAGTAACCCACTAGGTAAACCATATACTTACTACAAAAACTTCATCTACCTCTTTGTGTAAACAAATATTTTTCGTAAAATAAGGATTATTTATTATGTTTTCGGCTTAATCACGTAATAATTTGAAGAGATACTCGACTAGTTTCAAGCCGTGCTAGAGGCCCATATTCATGAGCAGCATTCCGCGACACGCAACGCAAATTATTACGTGAGTAAGCCGAAAACATAATAAATAATTTAGAATGTCTCACGAAAGTTATAATAAAAAAAATAAGGATGATGGAAACAATTTTGAAGTGGACACAAAATAAACAAAAACTCAATTGTTTGTTGACCGTGACCTCCAAAGCGGTACACTCATTATTCTAATACCACAAGAGCTTAACCAGCTGTAATTGCTACTATTTTACATATTTTTAGCGCTCAAAGAAAAATGCCGGATATTTAGCGGTATACTAGAGGCAACTTTTAATTTTAATGCTGTCATCATTCATTTTGTTTGTACAGATAGATAGTGTAGGATTGTACTTTCGTTTCTTATTTTATGTGACAGGGCGGCAAAGTAGATGGCGGATTACCTGGTGTTAAGCAATCAGCACCGCCCATGGACATTCGCAACAACGGAGAAAATACGAGTGCGTTGCCGACCTTTTTAAGGGATTTTGAGATTTTAGAATTGGGGAGGGATAGGATTGGGCCTCCGGTATCCTCATTCACACGGCGGGGCCGTGGTATCACGCCGGTCAAGCTGACCCATATGTGCGAAGCATGGCTCTCCCACACAAATTATGTCGATTTTTGTATCTTATTGTTGAATGTTCTGGACCGCGCGATAGTTATTTACCTTTGTATTTGAAGTTGAGGTCCATCGTGGACCCCACGCACTCTCAAGTAAAGCCAAGCAAATCCGAATCATCAGTAAATAGGCTACATTTCTATTGTTTTGTACATTTTTATGAAATATACTTTTAGAAAACGCATCCTTAATACCCGCGTAATATAATAGAATATTGTAAATAGGCTTAGCATTATAATACTTTACAAATACTCCAAAAATACTTAGTACAGACATACAAAAGTACAGGCTACGTATAACCTACTCTGTATCTATTACGTATGTTAATATTTCACCATTCAATTATCGGTACGCCGTAGGACTGCGGCCATCGATCAAATAATATTTTAGTTACTATATTCGTCCCACAATATTCAAATTCGACATTTTCATTAGTCATTCATATTGTTAAATGAATAACTGACTAAACGATACTGTTATTACATTATAGTTTTTATAATTCATGCGATATAACCATCATTTGGTTACATTGTCAATTATTATTTGATGTTGTTTTGTTTGGTTTACGTAGCTATTGTTAAATATGTGTATAATAATAATTAATGCTGTTATATGCAAATTGGTCCCCTCCCTCCATCACTTCCCAATCCTTAAATATCCGAAAGCCTTATCCCCAAAAGGGTGGCGATGCACTCGTGTCTCCTTTGGTGTTGCTGGTGTCCATGGGCGGCGCCGAAATTTTGTATCAGCATAACACCCGTGCAAGCTGGGGCGGGTCGCTAGGATATAATAAAGAAAAATCTAGATACTTATGCCATAAAAGCGAAAGTTTGTAATTATGGGTGACTGTCATTTAAAACCATTCAACCGAAAAGAATGAAATTTGACAGTGAAATAGGTTGTAGTGTAATACATCATTTGCTTTACTTATAATCATGGTCCTGTAAGCGAAAGTTAGTAAAGTAAAACTTCTAGCCCTCTAAGAAATTTTTCAGGAAAAAGCGTTATCGTTTACGTCGTGTTGCGTTAGCTGCATTTAAATGAATGATGTCTGTCCCTTTTCTTTAATTGAAAAAAAGGCTGTTTTTATTACTGCGTTTAATATATAGGTAATGTACATATATCCAAGTAGTTTTGGATTTTCTTCTACTGTTTCAAGCCAAACTCATATTTACGTCCACGAAAGAAGTTTTTAAGTGAAACTAGACAAGTTGTTTTAATTAACCGTGGTGTAGCAACATGTGACATTTTGTAACAAGTCGCCGGGAGAAGTTGGTCGGGTGCTTTGATCCTGAGTCTTGAGGTGCGCCAGTGTCGTGCTCGTGCATAGTAATCCATCTCTCTCGACAAACTCGCGACTACCGACTAATATCTCCCGAAAACTTACGTATGTGGGCATGTGGTGGCTTAGATTTTAGACCTAAGTTATTCTGCTTAATTTACCCTTGATACGCACTAATGATAGTCTATGTAGTTCCGTCTTTATTCTGTTTTTGAAATAACTGAATCATGTAGATTTTATTTTTAGTATATTCGGGGCATATGTGTAGACTTGGAATTCAATTATAATCAATTGAGGAAATTCATTACATTATTTACTAAGATACAAATATGTGTATGAATCATCATTTGACGAGAACATTAGTAACCTTTTTTATAATAAAAGAATTTTTATATGATTTAAAAAAAAAAGATTAAATATTTCTGTTCAGTTTTAAATATGCTGTTCTATATTTAAAAGGAGTAAAAAATAATACGGATAGACTGCCAAGGATAATAAGCGACGCAACACGTCGCACAGCATCCAGTCGCCTCAACACTGCGCACATTGTACAGTAAATAATATCAATATCAGTTTTTTTAAATAAATATACTTTTAATATTTTTATCAAACAAACGTATAACAAAGATTCCATAATATCTAAGTCTGTACAAACAAAAACAAATGAACAATGGAGAAACAATAGAGCTAACAATTTAAATCGAATAAATACTAATCGGATTGCAACGCAACAAGCTCGAGTGGTTCGTTTACACACTTTGTTTATGGAATTAGCAAAGAAAACCAATGGAATTACATTATGGTAATTATCACTTACATATGAACAGTTTTATTAGCAACCGCGGTTTGCTGTATCGGCTATGCTCACAATAAAGGAAAATTGTACAATTTCCTCTTTCTTTTTCATTTTATTGATGTCGGCTTTTATTAAGAGCTTCATACTGTAAATGTTTTAATTGCAATGAGAAGTGCTAATTATTATTTCCACACATTGTGTTGTTTCAACATTGTTTGCATGACGTACACTTTACGAAGGATCGTTCCATTTAGCCATAAACTATAACGGAATATAGTTTTTATTTGCAGTTTCATCGTCATAACAAACAGTGGCTGGCTGGAAGCAAGCAACGGTTTTTGTTACGTTCAGTATTCCAAATTCGAATATTCAAAAACTGCAACAGTGCGCTAAGCTGTGTCAGTGGCGTTTTATTTACATTACATTTTGTAGTGGAGTGATGCGCCCGGCCCACGTGTTTGACATAACCGACATACATACAGTTGTATCCCTCTCTCGCTCCACAAACTCCGGAGTTAGGAAAAAGAAAATGTTTCACGACGAGTCTCTTTTCCAAAGTGCTTTGCGGGCACAAGTTTCCTACTTAGATGGGTACAAACACATCGAAACTACCCACAGTTTATGTAATCCGAAGCGACACCGCTTCCTCTGTGACACTATGAATATGCGACGTCCGATAACTAAACTTATCTCCGTTTCTTTGAATTATACACCTACGTAGGAAATCGGCTCATAATATATTGGTATTTGAGATTGAAGTCGACTGTGAAATATGGCTTATTGGTAAAGTTTTATTGTACTTGTCACAGGTGCGATGTCCTGTGTGCCTAGCACGAACATTATCGAGAAAGTATTCGTATCGAGATCGAAAGCATTTTCTATGGGATTTGTACAGCGCCCCTACCGTGCGTAAAAGGAACTAAAAATCGCAAGCACGAATGATTTTGACAACTATCGTATAGTTATCGTATCGTGTTGCTATCGAAACTTAGAACATTTTGACACAAATTGGAAGCACGAACGATCTTTTGACCTATAGTAACGTAAGTTTCGAAGGCTGGCTATCGAAAACTGTCGAAACATTTGTCACTAAGAATTTGACGGTGAGAAAGGTTTCGAAATATTTCAATCGTGTTTTAAATAATATATTATAAAGTTTGTGAGTATTCTTTACGAGTATAACATCATGCAAAGACCGCCGCTGTACGAACCAAGTTGGAGAAATAGTTTATTTGTGGCTATTTTACTTGGAGATGAAGAGTCAAGAGAAACTTCGTAAGTACCTGAGTACCTACCTACCTATTCAAGTTATGTTTCACTTAATATAGACATATGTATTCAAGAAAATAATACGAATTAACTGATTATTCTAGAGAAATCGTGCGCCGAGCTAAATTCAGAAAGATATCTAATCCAATGGATATCACTGAAACGTAGTTTAGAAATACTAGATACCGCCTAAATAAAGAAGCTTTCAAGTACTTCTGTGAGCAACTCCAACAAAAGCTAACCTTATAATGCTAAAATGAAATCAATAGGAGTCGAGCAGCGGGTGAAACCGCGAGGAAGTAGCTAGTATAAATTAGGTTTTCTAATAAATATTTTTTTACAGGTGATTCTGGCTACCCACAGCGACCATGGCTTATGACGCCTACTCATTTTGGATGCGGTAGAGGGAACTCCGGGCCACAATATACTGCAGTAAAAGAAAGAAGAGGCGATGCTTGTGCAAAGACCGCACTCTGCATTATGCTCTCGAAAAATGTGTTTGACAACGGCTTGCTGCGTGTTGCATAATTTGGTCATAAATTTTAATGTGCCACAGGTAGATACAACAACAGCTGAACATCAAGACTTGTCTCATACCTCATCTTCTGATATGAGACATAAAAATGATAGAAGCGATGATTTGATAAGTGAAAGGGCTTTAGGTAATATTCTGGTACAGTAAATAAATATACTACACAGATGACCCAAGTGTTTTATTATTATACATTTCCAAAACATCTTACACACTAATCTAACTTAAAAACTATTCTTATCTATGTTTTTATAATAGGTAACTATAGTGAGACATTTTAAATTCAATTCTAACATAATCTTTCCTCATTCCAAAATGTAGTAATTTAAAATAAAATATGATATACATTAATCATCTTTTTAACTAGATTATATTTTAATACATTTATTGCCTCTCTCATAAGTTCCAGCCACTGAGCCTGTAAAAGGAGCTCTGCATCTCTCTGTCTTACTCTTCATTCTTCTCGTCGTAATTCCAAACGCTCTTGTTCCATTATATCATATGTTTCCTCACGCTCCCTAGCAAACTCCCTAGGTTTCTTATCATTCTCTAAACACAATTTGATTAAACTCCCTTTAGATTTTTTTTCGGTCGAGGCTTCCAGCATTCCTTTTCTAATGGAGGATTGGCGACTGGTGGTGTCGGTGAACGGCTGGCTTCATGGGTACTGCGGAGTGGTCGGAACACTGAAGGGAAGGCTCGCTGCTTGTCACTGGCATATTCCATGAAATCCACCATTAATTCGTATTGGAGCCGAATCCTCCTCATTTTAAAATAAATTTAAACTAACCGCATAATAAGATAGCCGCATAATTATATACTTTCTTTGTTTTGTTTGTTAAAAAAATACGTCAATAGCCGTCAAATGTCACCTTTGTCAAAAGAACGTTCGGAAAATTATGTTACAAAATTTAAATAACCAAATAATATTTTTTTTTCATAGATAAAGTCATTTTATATACTTCTTGACTCGTTTTAAGAATTATCTCACGTAATTATTTTTTTTTTCATTAAAATATAATATCATAAAAGGTGTAGACGAAGGTTGAAATATGTTTAAAATTTATTTTAGTTTTCAGACGAAATCTTTATGTCAAATTATGTTCAAGAATTCATTCAGTTCGTTCACTTGGGTGCTTCTCTAGGTTACATTAGCATGACGTCACTAACGAATTCGATTCGAGCTCTCGCTAGACGATACGATAGGCTTCGTGCTGCGACATTCCGTTTTCGTCACATGAAGTATCGACGTCTCGATACGTTAACGTTACGATTACGATAGTCATTCGTGCTAGGCACTCAGATGTTTTACTTTAGTTTTACCGTTACACTGTTTATAGATTGAGTTTGGAGTTACGCGAGAGGTATTTCAAAGTTTTACGCGCTATACGTACTTACATGTTATGTTCAAGAAAGTAATCGCTGGCAGTATTATGTTTGCATAGCGTGAGACTCCTCTATTATCGATAAAACTTAGTATTCGAGCCAGAATAGATTAAAAGTACTCCACCTATTAGATTATCGCATCGACTCGTAACGTTGTGTTCCTTTTTTCATATTCCTGTTATCAAAGTCGATTGAGTTTCCAAATTGCGTTCAAAAGTATGTTTTATAAGGTGTTACACAGAGTACAAGCCGCGATATTTTCAATTTCACGAAACAATTATTCCGCCATGTCATCAATCGGATTCCCGCTTTGATTGCGCGGCAAATTCGTTTTGTTTGGACACAAAAATTGCAATATAAAGAGCTGCCACATCATTCCCTTTTGGGTTAACGTAGATTGCTTCCAAAATGTAATATTGTTTGCAATTCATTTTGAACAGGCGATTGCCCACTTTTATTCCATTTATTTTTTGATTCCGATACTAACTTAATATTTAACGCGGATCGCAAAATAGATCCCTGGAAAACTGCGGAATTGAATTCATATAATTTAATTGAACAGAAAATTTCAAGAAGGAAATTGTAAAGAAAGTTGCGGAAGGCGTGAGTGGGGAAGTGCCCAGGGCACAATATAATACTTGAGATAGAACAAATGCAAGAGCACCTTGTTGCGCCGACTTCTTTATACGAGCGTCAATAATAACACTTCCCTTTACTTCACAATAAAAAGAAAACTTTTTACACGCTTTTATTAAGAAATTCAAGAGATCTTATAACAAAGTACGAGCGAAACACAACTTATTAACGCTTCTGATATGTGACGGGGACGGATTTAATTTGCATATTATTGACTCCTCGAGATTAGCGACTTTATTTCCAGCAAAAGAAAGTTACTTTTTTCAGAAAAAGTGTTTACAAATCCTCATCTCGGCATCGGAGGAGCTGGGACGGGCTCTCTTCTTACATAGCGACGTAATCAGACTGCAGCCTCGAGCTAATCTTGATGTACTATTCTTAGGCTCGGCTATGCTCGTGTTATTGTACTCTTTTCACGTTCTTCTCATTACCAACCTCCGCTGCGTATATACTTGTGAATTTTTAGATAAAACCGTCTGCGAACAAGGTTGATATTTATTTAATTATACCAAGTATTTCTGCTTTACATAATGGCGTTGTGACTTAAAAACACAGTTTTTTACCTCGTCGGATATTGCGGAAACTTTACAAAGTTGTCTGTGTAGTTGTCAGCGTCTAAATCATAAATAAAATGCGGGCGTTTAAAGCGGATGAAGTTTAAAGGACTTAGCGGGATGAAAGTTAAAAAGCGCTGCAATTCATGCAGCGCAGGTGACCAGCGGTTTATCAGCGCGACGCAGCCGGCGAGTGGCGCAGGCGACTACGGCACAGTACGGCAGCGGGGCGGCTGCGGGGCGGCGACGGCAGTGCTGCGGCCGGACACCACACACCTATCGCGAGAGGGACCTGCGACGCGGCGCCGCGGATAATCGCCTCATTTATAAAGTTTAGCGGGACAAAGCTGCGCGAGTTTTTGATTGAAAACAAACTTAGAAGGGACAGCCTCATTTGAATAAGTATTCTGCGAATAAAGTGTGGCTTTATGTTTTCCTTTAGGTGTTTTTTTCCTTTGTTATGCAAAACATTGTTCCACCTTGTTTAGGTACTACAACACGCTTTATTTTTGAGTGAAAGACTCTTTTGAAGTTAAGCTTTCCTGTATAAATTATTTTATTTTCACTGTATTGTTCTAAAGAGAACCTTTTGAAACTTTAATGGTCGTTGCGACTCTTCATCTTGGAATCTCAGTTTATCATTGTGGGCTGGTGGAATAATTCTAACTCGTTGTGCAACAATGGAGCCGTGCAGGAAAATGTAGGTTATATTACAAAGAGAGGGCGATTTGTCACTATAAATAATTAAAAAGAAACGCTGACTAGAATCACGAGCCATTAAGTCATTAAAGTATTCAGTGGGAAGTAGCATAGGTAGTCGTCTAAGGTCTAGGTAAGGCAACTTACAGAAGTAAGGACGACTGTTGAGCACTAGACCACTGATTCAATCACACATTACAACGATTTGTGTTTTTCCGACGTCTTAATTCTATTTTATAAGAATAATATTAGTATTGCTGTATTTCTCCGTCGCACGGAGTTTTGAACCGAATAGAGTCACCCCATGTAGTGGGACAGCCATCGGGCTAACATTATACAATTTCTATTAAAATGTCCCACAACACGGTACCATTACAATATGCAAGGATTAAATCATCCTTGTTAAAAAAATTATCATGAAATGCTGAAAATGAAAGATGTGACGAATGGCTTCTTTCTTCTTTCTCTTTTAAAAAAGCAAGGCTTGATACACTTTTTTACTATGAAACGTTAAGAATAATACTTCATCTAAGTGTACACATAAACATTTCACTATTACCTATTCATATACCTACGTTAATATCAAAAGGTAGGTTGCCTTCAAAAATCCCATCCTTAAAAAGAAACAACTCACTCTTGCGATGGGATCTTGACAAAACCCTGGCTCGTCCATTTTGTAGTGAAACGCTAATAAGTCCGTTAGTCGTAGTGTTAATTACGTAAGTCTGGTGTATGTTAGCTGGTGTCCATTTGCTAATACAGACGTATTGGGGCGATAACTGAGTTATCAGTGGCATTCTCACTATGATAATTGGAAGGGAGTGGTTTCCTGGTTTTTGTGTGCAAGGCAGTCACATAGGATATTTGTTTTTATTTATTTTTTAGGGTATAAGTCGACAAACGAGTACACGGATTGCCTGACGGTAAGCAATCGTAATATCGTTTTAATACAATTATTGTAGCAAGTTTACATTTTAGATAATTATTTTAAAATTCTCGTGGTACCTAATCTTATAGACCATAATTTTCTATAATTCAATATAACTGAATTGAATACTTTAGCTCCTACTTCAAGTCTAGACTAAACTACACAATACCTAATTTTCTATTCTATTGTTAGAATTCGATCGGTTTTAAAACTAGGTTTCTATTTAAACGTTGAATTTTTGACATCGTCAGAAAGAGACGGCTATATACACTCGCCTGTTCTCAGTAACAAGTTGGTTACGATCTTTTAAGAAATATTTAATGAAGTGACGGCCGACATTCAGGTAGGTAACACAATTAGAAATAATCAATAAGAACAACCTTATTATTTTATTGAAATGTTAAGTGTATTTTAAGTTTTATTGTGACGTTGATTTTAAATTAATTGGTACACCTAAAATGTAACTAATCGCGATAGGTTTTAGAGTTTAATATTTATCGAAGAATTCATAGTTACAAATAAGATTTTTTTTTAATTTTGGATAATACCTATTGTAAACTTCAGAACCAAAAACCCCTTGTAATTTTTACCTACCTACTACCACTTATCGCATTGCGTTTGCCAAAACTAAACTAACGAGGAAGCACTTAATACTAAACAGCTTAAAAAAATACAACCACCATTTCAAAATTGAATGAATGAACTAATGAATGAAACCTTTAAGACTAGCAAACAAATAAAATAGTAACAAACAATTTCCCCGCATTTGTCACACGACATTTTAATTAGCGTCAAAGCTAATCAAAACAACCAATTAGAGTCACGCCACGCCGTTTAAACACGTCAAAAAATCGCGTATATTTCATGACAACACGCTGTTTACAAAATAAAAACGTTTGATAAAAACTATCCAAAGGTTTTGTCACGTCAACCCCTCAAATTATATTTTATTTGCTGGCATAGTATGTGCAATGTTTAACACTTTTCATAATAGCCCTGACGATTTACGCATCAATAAAATTAAAAAACGAAGCGGTTTGGGATTGCTGTCCTGTGTTGGGTTGGAACAGATTAAATTATAGCTTCGGTTGACAAGTTGTTTTGATTTATCTAGTATACTTGAATGAAGCGATTCCAAATGTGGTTTAAAAATTTAACCTCATACGATACGCTTTTAGTTTTTTTTAGATCAAATAGTCTTTTTCTAGTTAGTCTTTCGTCTTTCTCGTTAGCTGACCCAAGAAATGATTTAATATACATAGGGTTAATAGAAATATGCAGTACCTATGTAGCTCTACTTCTGTATTTCTTTTCCTATTTACTGTTTGTGTCATGTGCATAAATAATAGACAAAACAAATATAATAACAAGGCTTACTAATATGGAGTATCTTACACATATTCAAAACGTTCCAAAATTGAAAATAAATTAAAGTTTTAAAACGTGTGATATTGCTAGTGTTTTGTAACAATAGCGCTACCGTGTCGCTTAGACTACAGGACAGCCCTATAACATACGATGAAACCACACACCAAGCTTAGTTTAACGATCTCCATAAAACGATACAATTTTCTTGCTGTTCCTAACCGCTAAGAAAAAGATACCGCTACTGTCAACCAACAATGTTAATTCCAACAGCATTTTTGAGACAATATTAATGTAACAATCTTGCTAAACATTGTACAGCTGTTTTTGAGATAAGTGCACATTTACCCAAAAAAATTGCCTCCAGAAAAAAGGGTGAGTTCTTATAATTATTTTTAATGTTATTGTACTCGTTTTTATCATGTTTTCCTTGTTTTTGCTTTGGGAATACTTTTTCAAAGTAATGTGAAGAGATTTTGATTCTATTGCGAGTAAAAATAATTGGGCCATTTTAGGCGTGAATATAGCTACGAGTACATACTTTTACACGTAGGTATATATCGTGTAATGATATTGAATATAACTACCATATTTATAGCATTAGCTAACAATCTCAGAAGCAATTCACATTTACCGTATAATATCGCAGCACACAAACAAGCACGCACGCTTACAAGCTAAGCACGACAATATCACACCATTGAATTTTACGACAAATCCGAGCCCAGAGGTAACTAAATCACAGATAGTCGAGAAAATCCAATTATCACTTGCACAATGAGACACGAAACAATCTAAACTAAGAAAATTAATCTTCGGAGTCCAGAGGAGCTCAGTCTGTGCAAACTTAGACAATGGATTTATAGTTCATCGATTTGAGACCATCGGTGTAGGTACCATAGGGCAATCACAGAAGTCTCAGGATCGTGTTGCGTGGAAATCATAGTCTTATAATGTCATTTGATATAGCGGAACTGAATTTGTATATGTTGATGTGACTATTTGAATGGGTTTTCTGCAAATCTCAGTGTGTTGAAAAACATTGTAGGGTTAAAAGTGTTAGTTTTCGGATCTCTTGTTTTACTTGAAATAAAATGTTGTTCTATCATAATAGTTGCATTTTTGATAATTTGGATATGAACTACTTTGTTATTAACGTCTTCGTATGTAATCTAATAAATTAGATATAGTTTTAGAAAATCAATTATGATAAAGTAATATAAAAAATGTAATGAACTTAGTGTGAAAAACAGTTCACAATAACAGCAAGAAGGAAGGTAATATTATATAAATTGAACGTAAAACTTCTTGGCAATCTGAATCTCGTTGAAAATGAAGCAAATAAACTAGGAAGGCACGTCGGTGAGGAGTGCGATTGCGTCGGCCTAGCATTCCGGAAAATTTGTAAATTTAAATGTGAAAAAGTCAAATTTATTTACTCGATGTAAAAATATGAAATAGTACACTTTCTGCATTACAGAAGACTTGAATTTTCTTTTTGTATTTTGATTTATTTTCACAGTTCTCCGCTCGGCTTTAATTCCTACAACGGTTGTATTTTATTTCTCTATGACGCTTTTCTATTTGTAATTCTCCGTAACCGGATCTAGTGTTATTTATTTTTCCGATTTACCTAGTTCTCTGAAAGATTTGAAATGAAAATACACAGTTATGGTAATTGAAACCTAATTGATACTAGAGGCACTATGTTTATTTAAGTATCATTTGAACTAAGACTACATATTAATGAATTATTTTATCAAAATTTTTAATTGTATTTTCAGTAAGCCATATTTTTTGGAAATCCTATAATAATTAACATTTCTCGTGCTAAAAAAGGAATTTAAAAACTTCGCAATAAAAATAAATTCACACATCGATATTACCAATTCATCAATGCATGAACGCAATTGTCAGAAACTTAAAAAATACCACCCAATACACTAGAAAAAAAATATAAATTTTAAAATGTTATTTATACGGACAGACAAAATGGAAAAGAGAATCAAATTCCGACAGTCTGGCATGAGGCTTAAATTTTTAATGTAGCTATGCACCTCATTTTAATTGGTTCGATTTCCAGTTGTTTGTATGATAAATATTTCAGGACAGGCTTCACTGGAGGTTTGAATGAGATATTCACATATTGATGTTGCCATTTTCAAACCAAACAATGTACGCAATAACGATTGGTTGATTTCAATCTATGAAACCGATGATTTACTCTTTGAAACAATGGGAATTGTGAATAAACTATATATAAATAAATGCAAGTAAAAAATGTTTGTTGCAAAAAAAAGATATGGTGACAACTGGTGTAAATACATTACGATATTTGGAATGGCAACCCAGAATTAAATTTTTGAAAAAGAAAAACTTTTGTCTCTTTGTCTGATTCGGTGCGAT